TGCGCCACCACGCCACTATGCCTCATTCACGTACATCACTACGAAGCTTCTTGGCTCGTTAAAGCCAGCGTTAATGCTCTGCTCGTCGAACCACGATCTATATAGTTACATTGCGATTCGCCCCGCTGCGTCAGCCCCGATTCCCTCGCTTTTCTCAACGCCGCTTCGAGCGATCGACTCCAACGCTTCGCCCATTTCTTTCTGCATCTCGCTCACCTAGTCTGAATAATCCCGAATAATAGCGCCGTATACGTGGGCGTCGTCAGGATTTTGTCTTAAATGGGGGCGACCCCGTGTTTCATCGTGACGGGGTACGGGGGTGAGGGGGTACGCTGTTTTCTGGGGCAGCTGCTAATGTGGCCTGGAGGAGAGAAGAGGTGTGTCTTTTCTTTTTTCCTTTTTGCAGCCCCATGCCGACGCCCGTAAAACCGTATGGCCCTTCGAGCAAACCGAGGAGGTCGCAGGAGTGCCACTCGTTCAACGGGCTTTCGCTACGTAATTAGAGCTCATTAGCCAAAGTCTTAACGCCTTCCGTATGAAGTGGCTCATAAACTGGTGGTCGTAATCCCTCTTCGCCGTGGCCCCTGGTCATCGTTTTTATATGAGCTCCCTATAAATAATCTCCCTATACTTACGCGCAACAGCTCTCGTTTCGAATGGGCGGCACCTTGCTTGACGAAGGCATAAAGACAGGTGGTGAAACACACGATTTCTTTAGCACTGCCTTGCAAAGCGTTCCTTGATGAGCTTTAGACCATTTGAATCTATCTATCTATCTATCTATCTATCTATCTATCTATCTATCTATCTATCTATCTATCTATCTATCTATCTACTATCTATCTATCTATCTATCTATCTATCTATCTATCTATCTATCTATCTATCTATCTATCTATCTGCACATATATCTGTCAATATATCTGTCAGTATATCTGTCAATCTATCTGTCAATCTATCTGTCAATCTATTTGTCCATCTGTCTGTCCATCTGTCTATTCGTCTGTGATCACCCGTTCTGCGCTGCTCTGTCCTGGTGTGGTCAGGCATTCAGTGTTCATCCTCTTGTGTGTGTAGTTGCTGGTGGACTCGGGGTGACATCGTTGATTTCGTATATACCGAAATTCGCATGAGAATACATGAATTTTTTTTCACGCACAATAATAGCTGGTCGTGACATGAATAGCATGAAATACATGTCATCTTCTACACATGTCTTCTGGCAGCGAAGAAACTGGATGGGGTTCCTAATTCCAGAAACATAGCTAAAACAAGAGGATACTAAGCATTATGAGTGGTGAGTATCGTAATTAAACGATAAAATCAGATAAGTAGTACAGTTACCGCCTCATCAGCCATGTGACGCCTCATTGAAAGCTTCTATGAACGTGGATCGCAATGAATAGGTAAAAACAGTATACTATGTGATGGCACTTTAATGCAAGGTAGGAAAAGCAGCTGGACCAGGCAGTAGAAATTATGCATCGGACTAAAACCCAAGAAGCTACTATAGAATTCGCAGAACGCATATTTACGGATTTTGATACCTTCTACCGAAACGGAAACGCAGTGGACATGTGGGCCCTAATGCGAAATAATTCGTGCAGGATGTGGAGACGGTTGGCAAAGTACGATGCAGTGACCATAGAATGGTACGGTCTCAAATCCGCCTAGACTTGAAGAAAGAACAACAGAAACTGATACGCAAGAAGCCAATCAATGAGCTAGCACTGAGAGGGAAAGTACAGGAATTCAGAGTGTCGCTGCAGAACAGGTACTCGGCTCTTAGTGAGGAAACCAACCTTAGCGTAGATACAATGAATGATAATCTGACGAGTATTATTACGGAGTGTGCAGTGGAAGTTGGAGGCAGGGTAGTTAGACAGGACACTGGCAAGCTTTCCCAGGAAACGAAGAACCTAATTAGGAAGCGTCAAATCATGAAAGTGTCAAGTACAACAGACAAAATAGAACTGGCAGAGATTTCGAAGTTGATTAATAGACGTAAGGCATGCGATGTAAGAAGGTATAAGATGAAGAGAATTGAACACGCTCTGAAAAACGGAGGAAGCGTCAAAGCAGTGAAGAGGAAACTTATGATGGGCAAAAGTCGGATGTATGCACTAAGGGACAAAGAAGGCAAAATAACTACCGATATGAATAGGATAGTTAAAATAGCGGAAGAGTTTTACAGAGATCTGTACAGTAGCGGAGACAACCACGACCTTAATACTATAAGAACTAGCAGTAACCCAGATGACACCCCACCAGTAATGTTAGAAGAAGTCAGGAAAGCTTTGGAGAGCATGCAAAGAGGCAAAGCTGCTGGTGAGGATCAGGTAACATCAGATGTGCTGAAAGATGGAGGACAGATTGTGTTAGAAAAACTAGCCACCCTGTTTACGAGGTGTCTCCTGACGGGAAGAGTACCAGAGTCTTGGAAGAACGCTAACATCATCTTAATACATAAGAAAGGAGATGACAAGGACTTGAAGAATTACAGGCCGATCAGCTTGCTCTCTGTAGTATACAAGCTATTTACAAAGGTAATTGCTAACAGAGTAAAGAAAACATTAGAACTCAATCAACCAAAGGAACAAGCAGGATTTCGAACAGGCTACTCAACAATTGACCACATTCATACTATCAACCAGGTAATAGAGAAATCCTCAGAGTATAACCAACCACTATACATAGCCTTCATAGATTACGAGAAGGCGTTTGATTCAGTAGAAATATCAGCCGTCATGCAGACACTGCGGAATCAGGGCGTAGATGAAGTATATATAAACATTCTGGAAGAAATCTACAGGGGATCAACTGCTACCATAGTGCTTCATAAAGAAAGCAACAGGATACCAATCAAGAAGGGTGTAAGGCAGGGGGACACTATCTCCCCAATGCTATTTACCGCGTGCTTACAGGAGGTCTTCAGAAGCCTAGAATGGGAGCAGTTAGGAATAAGAGTTAATGGAGAATACCTTAGTAACCTGCGCTTCGCCGATGACATTGCATTGCTGAGTAACTCAGGGGACGAATTGCAACTCATGATTACGAGTTGAACAGGGAGAGCAGAAAGGTGGGTCTTAAAATTAATCTGCAGAAAACGAAAGTAATGTACAACAACCTCGGAAAGGAGCAGCGCTTCGAGATAGGTAATAGTGCACTTGAAGTTGTAAAAGACTATGTCACTTAGGGCAGGTAATAACCGCAGAGCCGAACCACGAGATCGAAGTAACTAGAAGAATAAGAATGGGGTGGAGCACATTCGGCAAGCATTCTCAAATTATGACAGGTAGATTGCCACTATCCCTCAAGAGGAAGGTATATAACAGCTGTATCTTGCCAGTACTTAGCTACGGAGAAAAAACCTGGAGACTTACAAAGAGGGTTCAGCTTAAATTGAGGACGACGCAGCGAGCAATGGAAAGAAAAATGGTAGGTGTAACCTTAAAAGACAAGAAGAGAGCAAAGTGGATTAGGGGACAAACGGGGGTTAAGGATACCATAGTTGAAATAAAGAAGAGGAAATGGACATTGGCCGGGCATGTAGCGCGTAGACAGGATAACCGCTGGTCATTAAGGGTAACTAACTGGATTCCCAGAGAAGGGAAGCGGGTTAGGGGGAGACAGAAGGTTAGGTGGGCAGATGAGATTAAGAAGTTTGCGGGTATAAATTGGCAGCAGCAAGCACAGGACCGAGTTAACTGGCGGAACATGGGAGAGGCCTTTGTCCTGCAGTGAACGTAGTCAGGCTGATGATGATGATAATAATGACATGTCATGTAAGTTGCGATGTAGGTGACAACATGGCATCGTGATATCATATTGATATCACATACCAAATTCTGCGTCGGAAAAGTAGTGTGAGGCCAAATTAGATGCAGAATGCTTTCTAGATGGTAAAAGAATCAATGAAATAGACTTGGAAGAAAATTAAGATGAGCTTGTAGTCTTTCTTCCCCTACATTTTTTTTTGTTTCACCTAGTGTTTCCCTTTTGCTATTGCTGTATGTTTTGTAATTACCCCATCTATGTAGCCATAGAAGGTCCCCCTGTCAGTTTCTCTTAAACTTTGGGACCTCCTGCTGTAATAACGCTAACCATGTAACTCAACTGAACTATTTATTAAACTTGACTTGACTTGACTTTAACATCTCTCTGTTGTGTCCTCTCAACTTCCTTGATTCATCACTTTCTTGCACTGTGCAAACGTGTTGATTCCAAATCGCCAACTAGCCCAAGCATCCATTTCATCACTTTCTCTTCTTCTTAACCCTTTCAGCCCTGACTTTTTTGTTTTAGTTGCAGATTTTTTTCAATGCATTTTTTTTCATGGTCAGAACATAAATAACACCTCAATAAAATTTCAACTTCATAGCGTCGCTGGTTACGGAGATTGAAGTACGGTGTCAAAAACGTACATCAGGGCTCAATGGTTGCAAAGTGAAATATGTGGCAGCTTTATTAAAAAAAGACATTGGGCAATTCAAAATCGCCGAAGTGATCAAATAGATGAAAAAGAGATGTTATACACGCATACGGAAAGCCCTGAAACAATTTCTCGACTTTGTTATGCACAGGTAAACCTTGCATTTCTCACACTATAGGCGGGTTCTTCCTGTGCAGCCTTCCATCTTGCATCTTCTTTCCCTCGTTTCGTCGTGAATTGGGAAATGTACCAGCTGATCAAACCTTACATCCTCGATAGGTCTGTTTTCTGCCATCCTCGGGTGTTTTGAAACCTGCAATGGTGACAGTGAAGGCCTTTTCCTCTTAGGTGCCACTGGCTTCGACCCAGCTGCTGACAGGCCCTCAATGACTCTGAGTGAAGTCGAGCAGGTCAAGCTGCTTAGGGCGGTTCTGTTTGTCTGCATCACGTCTGTACTCAAGCCGAGCGTTCACCACCGTGAGGTTCATAATATGAAACGTCATTCTCAACGTCCACTTTCGGGAGCGAATGGTAGTCCGATAAAAGGAAATCTGGAAGTCTAGTTTATCGACACCGCCCATGCTGTGGTTGTATGCATTGATGACTGCTGGTCCCTTCACGTCCACGTAACACTTTTCCGCTTTGTTCCAATGACGAACGCTATCTTCGTCCTCGATAGCAATAAAGTTGGACGCAAGGGTCACAGTCCTGCTATCCATCCACCTTGTTATCGCTATATTTCCATCAGCGCTGACCACGCAGTCTCAAGAACCGCGGCCGCTTTTTTTCAGTTCTTTTTCAGTCTTCAAGGGGCACTTTTCACACCTGTCCGATCTTATAGTGCCGGCAGCAAATATTTTTTTACCCAGCATTACACGGAGCAGTGGCAGGGACGTAAAGTAGTTCTCAAAAAAAAGTCTGGCGCCTTGAATAATTTTCGTCTCCAGCCACCAGATGTGTTCAGTGCACTCTCGTCATCGGAGCTTTCAGTGTCGCTCTCCACTGGATCTTCATCAGGAGCACAAGGCAACACACTCTCGTCGTCTGATTCATCGAATTCCCCATCTACGTCGGATAGGTTGCCGTTGTCGAGCTGCTCAAACAGCGCTTCCGTTGTTGCTTGTAGCCGTGTGGAACGGGTTCGGTGACACGAATACAACGAAGTAACAGGTATACCTGCACCTGCAAACATAAAAAAACAGGTTAATTAACATACATACTGCGTAAGCATTCGTTCAGATATCGCTCGTCAAAAAACACGCATTACAATCGACTCGGACACCGCCATTTGCAATCATTGAGCCCTGATGGTGTCAAAATCGTACATGACAAAAGCATGCCACTGCAAAAATGCTGCACATGCAAGCAAAAAAACTCAAACGTCTTCCAACTAACGTACTACTAAGGCACAACATACAAAAAACTGGGCACATAATCCAAAAGAATTACGTAGCTACAATTGCAGAAAATCGGAACTCACCCGGCTCCGCGTTCGCCATGATGTCGCCGCTGCTTCTTCTTCGTTGTCGATTCGGTGCTCGAGAAAACACGAAAATACTGATGTCTATGGCAGTAGGTGGGCCGAGACTTCACATTGGGCAAAAAATTGCGAGTTTTTGTTTCGATTTCTCGGCGTGGCGGTACCATTTCTCGTGTGGTGTCAATTGACACCGCCAGGGTCGAAAGGGTTAATGCCGAAAGTTTACAGTCGCAAACAATGTCCATCTTTGGCATCCTAAAGTGGCATTTTAAGGTGCTTGATTGTCGCAAATCACGTCCTGAACGACGTCAACAGACCACCGTCCTTTCTTCCCGTGATAGGAGTACAATTAACCGAATTGACTCAGCCGAGAACGACGTAGAGGAAGTTCCTCAACAACTCGATGGTCGGAATTGGAAAAAAAAGCAAACAGCGAAAAATGACGCTCGTCTCAGTCTCCTAGCCTTGATTAACTAATTGTTCCGCGCATACACATCCCTATACTTTGCCAACCATTCTCAATCGTACGGGAGAAAGTGTGCCCGCGCCCAACCGTTCCCCTTACATTCGAAATTTTCGACAAAGACAGTGAGTGAGAGGATTTGAGAAAGGGGAGTTGGTGAGCGTGCATTCCAAAATTCATCCACAAATCGAGCCTTCCATTCGGGACGACTCGGCTGATTGTTTGAGTGCACGCCGACGCCCGGAAGCGAGGCACGGTGGTTGTGTGTGCATCCGGTAGCGTTAGTCGACGTTGTTTGGAGTGCTAATTAACATTATACGATCTCGCGCTCGAGTCACCTTCTTAACGTCCGTTCTCTACAGACTTGGCAGTAATCAAGTTACTGCAATGAAATTGTAACGTATCCATACAAGTAATCTATGAATGTATAAATGAACAAGTTTTTTGTCCCTGTTTGAAAGGAAGAAAGAATGGGACAGAGGTTGGGGGACGAGGAGGAGAATTACTACTTCAAACAAGCCTCCTCTACCTTCTCCACCCATCAGCATGACCTCCTAGTTCTATGGGCTTGTAGTTTTGTGTTGTAATGAATCGCTTAAAGTAATTATTTCAAGAAAACTACTTTTTAATCAGCTAATTGCTTTTGATTAAAGTATCGCATGTTCGCTTTTCTTCGGCATAAAGAGTTCTAAAAAAAAAGAAATAAAATAATCAAGTTGACTTCACCTAAGTGGCAAACCTCAAGGAGGGCAGGTTCAACAAAAGATACCTGAGATAAGGAGACAGAGGCGGAAATATTATTTCGAGAAGGTGCCTATGTTTGTGATCACTGGCCTACTGCTCTGCACGTTGGAAATGCGAAATGTGGAAAGGAGGGATAAAGATGACGATGTCGATGGGACAAGGTTATGCGCATTTACAGTAGAAATTTGATATTCCCATGCAGATATATGCCCTGTACATAGAGCGTTAGTGAGTTTCGGATGTATTACAAACTACTGTTTAAAAGGTGGTTTCATTATCTTTGTAAAGTAACAGTAACGTTATGAAGCGTGGAAGCTTGGTCAAGTTGGTAGGACATAACTGAATGCAGGAACACCGCAACCTAGAAGTAGTTACTTCGTAACTACGGAAGCGAGAAAAAAGCAAGGACAGAAAAGAGCGCTGCTCTTTTCTGTTGCTCTTTTCTGACAAAGCGCTCTTTTCTGTCCTTTTTTTCGCTTCCGTAGTTACGAAGTAACTACTTCTAGGTTGCGCTGTTCCTGCATGCAACAGTAACGTTATTACTTTCGAACTTGTGTAACTTGTACTGCAAATTAAACATTATAGGCTATGAAAATTGTGGTTTTCAATGTGAGGGTATTTTAGGCCAATAGTGTCATTTATGGTTCATACCCACCTGTAAAGTAATTCCCTCTGAAAGTGCGCGAGAATACACATAATATCGAATGCCTTTCTAAAGAAGTTCTATTTGAAAGACACTGACGGGAATCAATTTTCTGTGGAATACGAAAGACATTCATGTAAATGAATCATATGAGAGACTGAACGGTTCGCAGTATTATCCATTGTTCCCAACCCTGTGCTCGCTGGCGTAGAGGAAAGAGCAAGAAAAGGTGCGAAGGAAAAGTGTAATGTGTATCTGTATTTGTGCGGCGCTGTCCCTCAACCCTCTATAGGCTTTGCGCAGATTTAATTTTTATATAATGTACAAAATTATTCAGCGACAACCTTTCTTGTCTTCCAACTGCTTCAGATCCAGCTCTGACTTCCGGTTTCTCGAATATTCAGAAAAAGTCTTCAAAAATATAATTGGTTCAAGGTCAATGTTTCTAGTACAGGTTGGAGTTACATGGGACAGAAACAATATCGGAGCATATATGCGATACGTAAGTTAAGGGCCAATTAGCTGTGGGATGATTATAAAAATTCATAGAATGAGTTCATTGGAAAAAAAAAAACAGAGGAGACCTTGTGAGAAGCTGCAGGATCGTGACGGCACCTGGCAGAGCAGACCTGAACTGCGAGCTTATATCTTCGTGACCTCTGGGATGCGCTTCGGCACCATGAAGAAACACACAGTTAACCGAAGGAATACAGCAGGGCACACGAACACATAGAGACATTGCGTGGTCAGGAAGGAAAATAGGAGGAAAATAACGGCAGGGAAGTTAACCAGCCTATAAGGCAGCCGGTGTGCTACCCTGCGCATGGGAGGAGGATGGAAAGATGAAAGATAGAGATTAGAGAGGGAACGGAGATAAACACAGCACATTCGGCAGCACACGCGTGCACACTCAGTCATAGTCTAGTCTTGTCTTTCGTGGTGAGTGACATTGCTGTTACAGCCGCTTGTTCAAGTCCGTGTCGCGTAGGAATTTCAACAGAGCTCTTGTCGACTTCTGTTGCAATGTCTTCTCTCGGGCACATGACAGAATAGTGTCCACGGACATTTGGCTGTTGTCGATGCGCGCAATAACGGATGCCAGTGACTGTCTCGGGATTTCATACAACGGACAGTCGCACAAGATGGGTGGTAGCGTTTCTTCGCAATGACAGGCATCGCAGAGAGCGTTCTCGGCCATTCCTATATGACAAAGGAATAAGATTTCGTAGATTCCATCCCTAGCCGTATGGATGTTCTCTATAGCGTGGTGGCATACTCGAGTCTGCGCTTATCTCGGGATTCTGGCGCTTTGTGCGTCTTGTGCTTCCACCTAAATTTTGCTTAGAGCTACAGTAGTTTGAAGAGAGTGCAACGCCGATTCGCTTGCTGCCGCAGCCTCGTTAACAAAAGGAACCCGCTGCTCACACATAAAGTAAGAATTGTCAGAATTGTTTGTCCGCGCTCGTCCCGTGTATGATTATTTCGTGCGTGTTTTTTTTTTTGTGTCCACTGCAATTTTGAGCTGCTCATCGTTCTTCACGTGACATTGCAGTTACTGCAGCATTCATTGCTTCACCATTGTGACGGACAATGCAAAAGCAATGCTCAACTACATGTGATCACTCTAAAGAGAGGAATCAATCACTTTTTAAAAATAAATCATTAATCGAAAGAGAGGATTTCAACGCACTACGATGAAAAGTCCATCAAGGCGACAAGGTATTGTAAACGCTATTCCAGTGCGGGTGACGTCCATTGACGTGCTGCCCAGGAGGCAAATGTTAGTTCATCCTATCGTCGTGGCTATATATCTACGCATTACATTCCTTAGGCTGATAAACTCCAGACTCTACCACAGGTGACCTGCAAAGGTCGAAATGGACGTGGGTGTAGGAAAACACTGCTGTTTCAATAAGATACTCTTCAGTAAAGCTGCTTCAACTTAGTGCGACCAAGGTTCTAGGACTATGGCCATGTACCTGGAATGCAAAGTTGCCTCTGGATGGACTTCAAAGGGTGCCAGAATTCAAGCTAAAGGTAGTGAAAGTATAGCCAAACTTATAGCCAAATAGAACAGGAGGGGTAATATGAACATCATAGCTTTTACTACTAAAGAATAAACAAAATCAGTTCGATTAAGTAAAACAAGAAGTTCAAAAACAGCCAGAAAACAGCCATGGTGCATACTGGAAATATGCATCGCTAGACAAAGTCAAAAAGTAGCCCATTTAGTGCAAAGTAGCCACTAAAGGCAACCTTGCTCGAATGCGCAGAAGGCAGAATGCGCAAAGAGCGAAACGATTTTGCGCACATTAGTAAAGTACGTTATCACAGTTTCAAAAACACTACTCTTGCTGCCACATGATTCCCGGTATATAAGCCAGAAAACGTGCCAAAACTAAAATGTCAATCGAGGCGCCACCTCCAGATTCCCGCACCAAACACCGTGAAGTCATACAATTTTAAGGCGTCTGTGGCGTCCTACGTAGCTTCTAATTGATAAAATATAAATGCATTGTCTACTGTGGAATCCATAGACTTGGCATGCGAAGTTTCAGATAATTTCATCGAGCCATTGTCGCGAAAATGCGAGAAATGCATTTTGACATGTGTTGCGTCACGTGCGGCGATTTGAGTGCGAAATTCAAAGATGAGACTTAAAACTGCATTTTCTTTGCTAATAATGAACTTATCACACGGACACTTACGGCATTAGAGTTCTTAGAGGGCAGTTTTATCGATCCAAACAACATCAATGTGTCTTTAGCGTCACTTCAAGTGTTCTTCCGATTTTTTTCCATAGCTCTTCCGTCTTTTTTCGCCCATGTTCACCCTCTCCCCCAGTGCGCGGTAGCAAAACGGACGTGCATCTGGCCTTCCTTCCGGCTGTTACTTTCCTCATTCTCTCTTTCACTCAGTAAGTTAGTCTTCCTTAACTAATGAGGACGTTAACTATAGACTTTGCATTTATGCTTAAGCAAATAGTTTTTTTATGCCTCATGAGTAGACGAATCAACAGTCGATAGATGCCATCCTCCACCAAATTAGTGAAAAAGCAGAGCTATTCAGGACTTCATCAAGGCTGGACACTTAAACTGGGGCAAGTTGTTTCCTTTACACTACAGTCTGCGAGAACAAAGGAAACGAACTCCTAGAACAAGAACCAAGTAT